TTTGCCACCGTAGGATATTGGAGAAATTCGGTGACAGAGAATACCATGGTGGAATTGATTTCTGCTGGCTACTATAGTAAATTTGCACACAAAAATTGCTACCGATAAGAAAATCTAATCTCCCGGACGAGCCCCCAATTCTGTTACGGGTCAGAGTACCCAATGCCAGCAAAAATCAATGACAAAAGATTTAAAGAAGTTTTAATATTTTATTAAAACTAAATAAACTAATGACAATAACAATAAGCTATTCTTAATACACAAATAAACCTATCTGAAAGCATGAAGTGTCCTGTGTGAAAGTCCGATGTGAATCCGTCGACTGGAGATTGAATGGAGATAAATCGGCTCAAAGTTCAGTGAAAGTGTCCAATGAAATCCCACAGTAATTACGATGCAAGTTCCAGTAGAAAATATAAGTGTCAGTTCAGTGGTAAATAGGTTCCAAAAAAAAATATTCTCCTTCAAAAAGTCCCAAAACAAAAACTCCGTCTCCTATCCCTTCATATTCCAGCGTCTGTCTAAACTAACGCTCTCGAGATACTCATGCTCTCGCGATATGGTGACGTCATAAGCTGACCTACTTATACACAACACTTGCTAAGCATTAACTGCAATGCACCCTATGACACAACATTAGTAATTCGCCATAGCGTTGCTCTATCTCAAATTACATGACAACACCAAATTTTACTTAATGCAATCCTATAACATAGACTTGTGAGAAGACGCGAGAGAAGTTTCAATGGCAGATTTTAACCGCACCTCTCGTGAAATCTCGCTCCAATCCAGGTCTCGTTTGACGTCATCTGCTGCGCAGATGTTCAAAATAGGCTATCCCGGACAGTCCCTATTAACAGTGTATGACATCGGCTAAAGAGGAGGGGGGTCCTACTATAGCTTGCAATCTATTGTTAAACGCGATTTATATCATTTCTCGAACGAGATACGAGATACCTTTACAATTACTGTGTGCCCGGCTGCCGTGGAGAAACGTCCTGTCGAACAGATTTTGCTATATTTAAATACATTAGCGAATGTTTTAGATCACTGTAGTAAGAAATCATACGTGCAACACCGGGCCATAACGGTCAAATATAAAATTGACATCTTATTGTTGAGATGCACATAAATACCTGTATAACGTTATAAGAGCTGAGCATTAAGCCTCGACAAACTAACTTCCATTTTTAAACAACAACGAGAAAAAAGGACACCCTGTCATAGTTATGAGAAAAATTGCTAAATCCCCCGTTTCTAAGAGCGCACCAAGGGTAATGGGTTAATAATATTCAACAATTGATGAGAAGGTTTATATGAACAACAGAAAATAAGAAAATATCTAGCAGTGGCACAAGGACAATTTAACTCCAGCGTGCAACAGGGGGAAGACTGACTGTGTGGTCACACAATATAAAGTACGTTCAATTAACAATGTATGATATCGGTTAAAGAGGAGGGGGGTCTTACTATAGCTCGCAATCTATTATTAAACGTGATTGTTATCATTTCAAACAAGCTAAAACCAAGCCTGTACAATTACTGTGTATCCGGCTGCTGTGGAGAAAGGTCCTGTCGAACATATTTTGCTATATTTAAATACACTAGCGACCTGTTTTAGATCACTGGTGTAAAAAAGCATATGTGCGACACCGGACAATAACAGTCAAGTATAAAATTGACATCTTATTGTTTAGATGCACCTCAATTTAACGCTATAAGTATAAAGTTATGAGACCTAAGCATTAAACCTCGACAAACTAATGTCCATTTTTAAACAACAACCAGAAAAAAAGAGTGCCATGTCATAGTTATGAGCTGACAAATTGCTTTAAACCTTATTCTGTTGTAGGAAATAATCATCCGTTTCTCAGAGCGCACAATGGAAAATGAGATGAAAATATGTAAAAATAAGTGAAAAGGTTCATATGAAAAAAGAATAGGAAAAATATCGAGCACTGGCACAAGGACAATTTAACCCCAGCGTGCAACAGAGGGAAGACTGACAGTGTTATCACACTATATAAAGTACGGGCAATTAACGATGAATGACAGCGGTTAAAAGAGGAGGGGGATCTCACAAAAGCTGACAATCTACTGTTAAACACGATGGCTATCATTTCTTAAACAAATTTAAACCAGGCCTAAACAATAAGATTGTTAAATAAGTTTATTGCTGTAAAATAATAGTGTTAATTCAACGGTGACGATGGAGAATGTGTCATTCACAATGTTAATAAAATAAGACTGGTTCAAGCCAATTGTCCATATCAAATAAATCTTTTTAGTTACTGAGGCTACACTTCAGCTTGTTCTGTAAATATTTTTTTTAAAAATAATGTTGCTTTCTTTGTTACTTTTAATCTTTATTTTTAACACAGGTTGCGATGATGGAAATTTATTTACGGGGCATCTTTAATCTTCAAAATTTTTGGCCATTATCATTCATAATTCATAAATACTATGTGCAATAAGAATTTTGAGACAGGGTGAATTGTTGATCATGCTGATGCACAATGCTGATGCTTATGCATGTTAATCAAATTCAGTTTTTGACTACGGAACACGTCATATTGAATTAAATAACTGATACCAAATCAAACTAACAGTTTGCTAGCAACACTTAAAACATGATCAGCTGCGCGTGCCAAGCTAGTAAACAAAAGGACAGTTCGCTACAGGAGACGGTTTGTTGGCACGCTGTAGCATAGGTTCTAGCCTCTTTAAGCTGTAATTCTACCGCCGCAACAAACAAAATGGACTTTCTGGCTGATGTATCCTGCTGTTAATTACACCTAGGCACAGTTGAGTGTCGCGCTCGCGCTTTACCACTGAAACCGGCGTCATGGGGTTCACTCGTCTTAAGTATTGTGTTATTCCACCTAAGCTATTGTGTTTGTGCATTCGAATTTTGAAGGGATTAATACGGCTGTCCATTGTTTGCCCGCCCTCTTCTATTCACAGGACAGGGATTAAAACATTTCAAACGTTGTTAAACCGGTGTGCAACGGAAACATAATTGTTACTACCACTGTAAGTGATGTGCATGAACCTAGCATGTTTATATTCTTGAATTTCTAATTTGTAAAATCTTTCATACACGGCCTCATATTTGTATTACTCTCAGGCCATACTCTTCGATATTATTGTGTTACACGGGAATCTCGGAAACCTGAAGCACAGAGCATTGTGAAAGTTAATTCGCTACGGAGTCTTGTTATATTCTTCATGCAGTTTGATACAGGTAGCTGGGATAAACACTGTGGACTAGAAACAGGCTTTATTTAGCTTTACTTAATTTACGACATTTTAAACAAAACCCGTCAGCAAGGCTTGCTTTGATTTGGTGTTAACCTGACACTGGTTTTAAAAGAACAAATATAGATATGTTGGATGGATTAAATCACCGACATCGTTATATTTTAACTTAATGTGGTCATTTACACAGTAACACAGATGATATTTATAAGTTGTCTGTCGTTTAGCACTCATTACAGTGAGAGTGGCCAAACAGTGACGATGATCAATCCAAGCACAATCTAGGCAAGTATTGTTTACAAAATAGATCATGTTGAATAAACTTACGCTTAAATAAATAATCAGCACAAGGTTCGGTTATTGTCACTTAAAAGCTTTCGATCAAAGACGTTCAATGAAATCACAAATCATTTAATGATTAACAAATGGACAGGTTCAATGGGCACTTTTTTGTTTCAGTAAGGGGGACTTCAGGTAGAGGGTTCAGTGTTTCCTCGGTGTTTCCTTGGGTGATAGCAGTATCACGCCCTAGGTCTAAGCGAGTTGTATAGATTCTTTTTGTCCAAGCATCCTATTCCAAACTACTGAGTTAGAACAAAGGTCTAGTTACATGTACTGTTCAATTACAATTAACAGTTGCCTACTTGATTGTTTTTCCCCAGGTATCGCATGCATGCATTTTTACTCGAGTGATCTAAAACAAGTCGCTAGTGTACACTGTTTGTAACTGTAGCAAAATATGTTTGACATGGCATTTCTGCACGGCAGCCGGCGTCACAGTTACTGTATGGGCATGGTTTAAGCTTGTTCGAGAGATAATAACAGTCGCATTGAACAATAGATAGCGAGCTATGTTAAGACCCCCCTCTTTAACTGATGATTTACACTTTCAATTGACCGTACTCTCATGTATTGTGTGATCACAATGTCATAGGTCCCCCTGTTGCACGTTGGAGTTGGATTCTCCTTGCGCCTCTGTCAATGAACCTCATTTAATTTAAATATTATAATATAGATATAGTATAAGCAATATATAAATTCTCAATGAAACTCATTCAGGTGTATGCACCAACATCAAGCAGACCAGATGAAGAAGTAGAACAACTGTATGAAGAAGTACAGCGTCAGTTGACAACAGACTGCCACTACCACATAGTCATGGGTGATTTCAACGCCAAGATCGGGATAAAGTCAGACGAACAAGAGCGTGCCACAGGGAAATTTGGCAGCGGAGAGAGGAATGAAAGAGGAGACTTACTGATTGAATGGGCGACAGCAAATAACTTGAAGATCATGAATACCGTCTACAAGAAGAAGATATCAAGAAGATGGACATGGCAAAGCCCAGATGGATGTACAAGAAACGAAATTGATTTACATCATGACAAACAGACCCAACATCTTCACGGATGTGAAAGTGCTTAACAGACTGGATGCGGGCAGTGACCACAGAGCAGTTATGGGAGTGATTAGGATCAATGTCAGGAAGGACAGACAGAAATGCCTGTCAAATCCA